GTTGTCTGCATGGGAGTGTGCTACGTAAACTTTGGGAGAGGAAGAATGATTTTGTTTTGAAAAGTCAAATAAAGGGGAAGGTGGGGTCCACGGTTTTGTGAGAAGAGAGGAGTGAGTGGAACTTGTGTTTTAATTAAAAAAAAAGGGGAGAAGAAAGAAGTGAAAGGGTTACGTAAATGGAAAAAGGGGAGAGAGAAAGAGAGTTTCATAAGAAGTGAGTGGTTTGATATGGGACCTACTTGGAAGTGAGAGAAAATGTAATTTAATGGTTTTGGGGTCACTTGAAAGTGTAGATAAAGAAGGGAGTGTGTTTAGAGTAAAAATGGGGTGTATTAGAATTAGGTATTTTCTTTGATGTTGGATATTAATTAAAAAGTGAGGGTGCACTAGAAATGTTGTTCTAGTTGATGGAAGTGTGAAATTAGTAATTTCACGGGGGTGCATCAGTAGGAAAAATAATTAAATTAATTTATTTAATTATTTGTGATTTTAATTAATTGTTGGTGAATGAATTTGATTGACTTTGTGCATGATGGTGATCTGCGTATGGTTGTGATGGTAAAATCGTGAGAGCAAGCGTTCTGTCATTTTCTTAGAATTTTTGTCGAATCGATGGTGTTCGTATTTTGATACGATAGTGTGTAGAGTCTCTGCGGAGACTGAGGTTCGAGTGTCACCCTTTCCTCGTGCGCGGAGACTAGAGAGGGTTGGATGTCTAGCCCAATGACTTCGGCTCGTGTGAGTATAGTGCTCGGTGAGTGTACCTAACCGAAGCTTTTACTCGTAATTCCTTGAGGAGTCGGGGAGATAGGTCTGAAGTTGCGATGGAAGACGGCTCGAATCGCCCTGTTTTGCGAAACAAGTTTGGTACGACAAAATTCAAGGAAACAACAGAAGCTCGTGTAAATGATTGAGTCGTGAGTTTAATACTGTGATGTATTGTAATATTGTGACTTTGATAGTCTGAGTGGTGATGATCTAAGTTATGAGTTGAATATTATGTTGTATTGTAAGGTTGTGACTAGGATAATCTAAGTTATAATATTTTGATATTGAAATCATATGCTATGTTAGGTCTTCGTTACTCACCCTTTCCTTTTGTGGTTGTGGTTCCACCTACGATGATCATACTTGTACGAGAGTAGATGGTGTTGCAGATGAGGCAGAGATGAAGTAGCACGACGAGAGTTATGGGAATAACTATGGGGGACTTATCATGTTTTAAAGTAATTTTGTATCTTTGAATAATGAATTTGATATTTCTAAGGTTTTAACCTTACGTTGTAAGAATCTTAAACTTTTGTTGGTTTAGTTCCACGATGTTAATTTAAAAAAATAAAAACTGACGTAAAATTTTAAATTTTGTTATTTTCTAGTGGCATTCCGTAAGGGTGTTACATAGTTGGCTCTATAAGGTTCAAGAGAAATAATATGGCTAACAACTCATTTTCAGTAGTTATATAATTGACCCGAGTTGTATCCAGAGTTCTGGATCTACAGGAGATCATATAGGAAATCTTATCAATTTTTTTGTATCAAAACAGCCCTCAAAACATAGTTGGACGCATCACACATAAGTTGTATCCAATCTAGAAACTGGATTATAGGGGTGGTGGTAAGAACACTCTTTAGAACTCCAAAATCAAATGTGATATTTTTCTTAATAGATTGGAAAGAGGGAGATCTATCTTGCTGAGAGTTTTTATGAACTGTCTATAAAAACTTGCATGACCAAGAAAGGAACAAACCACTTTTACAGAAGAAGGGTAAGACAATTGAGTAATAACATCAATGTTGGCCGGATCAACCTCAACACTTTTTTTAGAAATGATGTCCTAAAACCAAGCCTTCTTCTATATGAAGTAACATTTTCCGAAATTAAGAACATGGTTTCAACACATTCCCAAGACTTTAGAAAGGTTATCTATGCATTCATCAAAGCTTATTACATTTTTTTTAACAACTAAAAAAGTTAGGCCTAGATGCATAATGAGTGCTTGAAAATGCACTCAGCAACAATATTCTAATAAGGCTCAATAAGCTGGTTTTAACACATAATTCTATTTAAAGCTTATTTTACCTCATTTACATAAATCTCAGTTAAAACAATATATTTAAAGACAATTAAATTTCAAAAAACTTAAAATTAAATCATATATTGATGATTTGGGCCCTATCATATATGAATGCATAAAAACACACTCATCATGAGTTTATCTACCCAACAATATAAGCATTAGACATTACGTAAATTAGACATGTTTAACATTCTTTTTCTTCTCTTGAATTATCCTTTTCAATTTTCCAACTCACTTTTGGATTAAGTTCAGGATCTTAGCTTCTCTTTATCATTAGAAAATATCCAATTCAATGTAAGGTATTAAACAATTCAAAACTATAAATGACTTATGAATTTGATTTCACTTCAATTACATAAGACCCATTTTAGAATGCCCGATAAAATCTCTATAGTCATATAATATAATTAAAACTTGTCGCTTAGGCAATTTTCATAAACTAGACTTTCTAATTAGACACTTCTAACTAGACCATTTAGTGGATATGACTTGTACAAAACTTAAAAAATTAGTTTTAACATGTATTTTCATTTAAAGTTCATTTTATCCCTTTTGGATAAATCCTAGTTAAAGCAATATATTTAAACCTAATTATTATACAATAAAACTAAGATGAAATTATGTATGAGTGTAAAAAAAATGCACTTATCAAAGTATAATTAGAATATCACTCATATAGCTTTAGAAGGAGTAAGAATCTTAATGAATTAATTGACACTTGTTTAGTTAATTTATATGTGTTTAGAAATTAGATTGTTGATAAATGATCAAGAATTTAACTATGAAAAAGTTGGAAAATTAATGTCTTTATATAATTGTTATTTTTGTATTGTCTTTTCAATCCCTCTATTATTATTTTTCATGGGACCTTACTACAAATTCTTATAAGTGTTATTCTGGTGAAATTTCTATTGAATTAGTTAGGAAACTATTTGAGTAGATTAACCCTATCTAAAGTCATTTTGAACAGAGCAGATGTTCTACTCTATTTAATTTGCATAGAAACGATAGTAATAATTTCTAGCTAACTAGAGGAGAGACATATAGTGATAGTTTTAGTTTCATTTAAAGGATGAAACATCCACCTTTGACGAGGGAAGTGACCTTTCTTATATCACCTTGAAAGTCCTCTAACACCAAACTTTGCTCTTACAACATCATTTGTCCTTTTATTCCTTCTCTGTTCACAACAAAACAGTTTGAATACAAGTACCATGTTACCAAAGCTATTACTCATAATTAGAAACAAATCGTGCATTAATAAATGAAGAATCTCAATCCTTTTTACTTTCTCAATTTTCATTCAACTTGCTGGTTAGTTAGGGTTGTTACGGATCAAATTTTATGACATTGGGGAAACATTTTTCTCCATATTAATTATATAGAATTGTCAAATTTTATTAATCCAAGACTCCAAGTGTAGAATATTCTATGGGATGCCATTATTTAGAAATCAATTCCGTTGATTGAACTACTCTATTCAATTCCTACATATTAAGAAAGGATTCCGAGTGGTGGTGAGTGTATCAATCAAATCAAACACTTAGATCCTCTGTGGTTATCGATTTGCACCAGATGCTAACTTCTTTTGCTTCCTAACTCGATATTCATCAAACACTTTATTCGCGTTCTTTAGTTTTTGTAATGAATTGTTTTGTTTTCATTCTAGATATTTGTTTTTCTTTTGACCACTTTTCACCGCCCACAAGTGCTTTATACAACCCATGTTGGCAGCTTTATTCCTTCATGCCAGATCCCATCCCAATTATTTGTTTGTTAACGTGACAAGGACTTTAAAAAGTTAAAAGAGAACGCAAAATGAAAATATATATTTTTACTGACTTTTAAAATATATTTAAAAACTTTTAAAATATCAATATTAATATATTTTTAATGCTTAACAAAAAATAAACCAATAAACCGATAATCTGAATTCATTACAATCTATATGATCCGCTTGCATTAATGGTTTTACACATAATGAAAATTCGAAATTTCAAACCATACACGGCGAAAGAAATATCTACTAAGATGACTTGATAAGTTGTAGTGAGTGTTTAAACTCTCGACGGATTGCAAAGAAAAGGACTAGAAGCGTCACAGAATTTTGTAGTATTTGTCTGTATCCGTTTACTTATGGTCATGAGTCAATTTTTATTTGCAATTTAAATAAAACTGATAAAACCAATGGTTGAAATTTTGAAGAAAGCAATGTCCCTTTTGCTCCGATTAATGGGCTAACCGGAACGAGATCTGACAAAACCATTGAATTTTATTTTATAAAAGTCAGGACACCTATAAAAGTGATGATGTCAAGGTTCACTGAACAATGGCTTAGTAAAGACAAAGCCTTATTCAACGCATCATTTATAATCATTATGTAGATGTCGACATTTGAAATTTGCAAGTGATATGAACATGAGTTAAGGTATCATGTGAGTAAACTTTTCTGTTCTCTCGTTAATATGTGATCTCGAAACAAATATTTACTGAAAAAAACCCTTTATATTTCCTAAAACAAGGAAAAGTATTTGCCCAAATAAATAAAATAGTAAAACAGAACTAGAAATAGAGAGTACCCATCCTATCCCCTTCACGTGTCCTCTCCTCCTTTTCTCTCCACACACTCTTGCCACTGTCTCTTAAAAAAAAGGATGAAAACTGTCAATTTCTACCTTGTTTATTATTAAAACCCTTCCTGTGAACTTCAATTTTTAAAATACATTTTGCTGCACTACAACTACCTTGGTAATTACGTAAAAATCATGTTTTTCGCTCAGACATTGGAGATTCATAGCTCAGACAATATCTTGCAATTTAAACTCGGAGAGAGAAGGCAGTGCCATATTTTGCAATTTAAACTGAAAGCAGATGTCATTTAATTCAAAAGATCATAGAAACAATAAATTGGCAGAAGATATAAATATTAACAGCATTAGCCACCCACATGTAAAAAACACAAACTGCATCCAATTGTTCTAGGTTTCATAATAATAACCAAAAAAGATGAAAATGGAGTAACAAAGCATGGTGAGACACAGCTAAAGGAAGCTACTAAAACAAGGGATAGAGCAAACAAGTAGGATACTAAGAAACGAGGGACAGAGGAAACAAATAAGGATACTAAGGAGCAGCAGTACCAATTAAAGCAAACAAGAAAATAGACACTCAACTAACAAAAGCTAATAACCCCAAATGAAGATTGACCTAGTGGAAATAGAATTCCCAACAAAACTTATCTGCCCTGTCCCTCTTGTATGCTTTTCAAATTTTGGTTATGGTTGATTTGTCCTCACTTGGCCATCATCACTTTGACAAACTCCTCATAGTTGATCTGGCCATCGCCGTCGACATCAGCCTCGCGAATCATCTCATCAACCTCCTCATCGGTCAGCTTCTCCCCCAGATTTGTCATAACATGGCGGAGCTCAGCAGCAGATATAAAACCATTCTGATCCTTGTCGAACACACGGAAAGCTTCCTTAAGCTCCTCCTCTGAGTCAGTGTCTTTCATCTTGCGAGCCATCAGATTGAGGAACTCCGGGAAATCGATGGTTCCGTTGCCATCAGCATCAACCTCATTTATCATGTCCTGCAACTCTGCCTCAGTTGGGTTTTGCCCAAGTGACCGCATTACAGTCCCAAGTTCCTTGGTAGTAATGCAACCTAAACCACATTACAAAACTGTTCAACAGAAATATGATTCATTCAAACCCACAAGTGAAATGCAGGTCAAAGTTTTGAAAACATGAAGGAATAAAGAACACAAATCCGGTTATACTGGGAGGAAAGTTTCAGAAGAAAGAGATAATTTGAAGCAGGTACAACAACGGAAAGTGAAGAACACTATAAAGTATCATTGCGTCAAAAGAAAACACATGCTAGATATTTGGTAACAATTTTCTACAGTAATGATTAATTAACAATTCGGACAAGATACTGTTAGTATCCTTGGTAGTAGGGGTTTGCCTATCAGCTGAGATACTCATAGCAGAAACATGCATAGAATGAAATAATCGTTAACAAATCTAGACAGAATGAAATACATAGTCAAAAACAAAAAATCTAGCCAAACAAGAACGTCTAGCTAAACCAAATGATCCAAATANATTAGTAATTTCACGGGGGTGCATCAGTAGGAAAAATAATTAAATTAATTTATTTAATTATTTGTGATTTTAATTAATTGTTGGTGAATGAATTTGATTGACTTTGTGCATGATGGTGATCTGCGTATGGTTGTGATGGTAAAATCGTGAGAGCAAGCGTTCTGTCATTTTCTTAGAATTTTTGTCGAATCGATGGTGTTCGTATTTTGATACGATAGTGTGTAGAGTCTCTGCGGAGACTGAGGTTCGAGTGTCACCCTTTCCTCGTGCGCGGAGACTAGAGAGGGTTGGATGTCTCGCCCAATGACTTCGGCTCGTGTGAGTATAGTGCTCGGTGAGTGTACCTAACCGAAGCTTTTACTCGTAATTCCTTGAGGAGTCGGGGAGATAGGTCTGAAGTTGCGATGGAAGACGGCTCGAATCGCCCTGTTTTGCGAAACAAGTTTGGTACGACAAAATTCAAGGAAACAACAGAAGCTCGTGTAAATGATTGAGTCGTGAGTTTAATACTGTGATGTATTGTAATATTGTGACTTTGATAGTCTGAGTGGTGATGATCTAAGTTATGAGTTGAATATTATGTTGTATTGTAAGGTTGTGACTAGGATAATCTAAGTTATAATATTTTGATATTGAAATCATATGCTATGTTAGGTCTTCGTTACTCACCCTTTCCTTTTGTGGTTGTGGTTCCACCTACGATGATCATACTTGTACGAGAGTAGATGGTGTTGCAGATGAGGCAGAGATGAAGTAGCACGACGAGAGTTATGGGAATAACTATGGGGGACTTATCATGTTTTAAAGTAATTTTGTATCTTTGAATAATGAATTTGATATTTCTAAAGTTTTAACCTTACGTTGTAAGAATCTTAAACTTTTGTTGGTTTAGTTCCACGATGTTAATTTAAAAAAATAAAAACTGACGTAAAATTTTAAATTTTGTTATTTTCTAGTGGCATTCCGTAAGGGTGTTACATAGTTGGCTCTATAAGGTTCAAGAGAAATAATATGGCTAACAACTCATTTTCAGTAGTTATATAATTGACCCGAGTTGTATCCAGAGTTCTGGATCTACAGGAGATCATATAGGAAATCTTATCAATTTTTTTGTATCAAAACAGCCCTCAAAACATAGTTGGACGCATCACACATAAGTTGTATCCAATCTAGAAACTGGATTATAGGGGTGGTGGTAAGAACACTCTTTAGAACTCCAAAATCAAATGTGATATTTTTCTTAATAGATTGGAAAGAGGGAGATCTATCTTGCTGAGAGTTTTTATGAACTGTCTATAAAAACTTGCATGACCAAGAAAGGAACAAACCACTTTTACAGAAGAAGGGTAAGACAATTGAGTAATAACATCAATGTTGGCCGGATCAACCTCAACACTTTTTTTAGAAATGATGTCCTAAAACCAAGCCTTCTTCTATATGAAGTAACATTTTCCGAAATTAAGAACATGGTTTCAACACATTCCCAAGACTTTAGAAAGGTTATCTATGCATTCATCAAAGCTTATTACATTTTTTTTAACAACTAAAAAAGTTAGGCCTAGATGCATAATGAGTGCTTGAAAATGCACTCAGCAACAATATTCTAATAAGGCTCAATAAGCTGGTTTTAACACATAATTCTATTTAAAGCTTATTTTACCTCATTTACATAAATCTCAGTTAAAACAATATATTTAAAGACAATTAAATTTCAAAAAACTTAAAATTAAATCATATATTGATGATTTGGGCCCTATCATATATGAATGCATAAAAACACACTCATCATGAGTTTATCTACCCAACAATATAAGCATTAGACATTACGTAAATTAGACATGTTTAACATTCTTTTTCTTCTCTTGAATTATCCTTTTCAATTTTCCAACTCACTTTTGGATTAAGTTCAGGATCTTAGCTTCTCTTTATCATTAGAAAATATCCAATTCAATGTAAGGTATTAAACAATTCAAAACTATAAATGACTTATGAATTTGATTTCACTTCAATTACATAAGACCCATTTTAGAATGCCCGATAAAATCTCTATAGTCATATAATATAATTAAAACTTGTCGCTTAGGCAATTTTCATAAACTAGACTTTCTAATTAGACACTTCTAACTAGACCATTTAGTGGATATGACTTGTACAAAACTTAAAAAATTAGTTTTAACATGTATTTTCATTTAAAGTTCATTTTATCCCTTTTGGATAAATCCTAGTTAAAGCAATATATTTAAACCTAATTATTATACAATAAAACTAAGATGAAATTATGTATGAGTGTAAAAAAAATGCACTTATCAAAGTATAATTAGAATATCACTCATATAGCTTTAGAAGGAGTAAGAATCTTAATGAATTAATTGACACTTGTTTAGTTAATTTATATGTGTTTAGAAATTAGATTGTTGATAAATGATCAAGAATTTAACTATGAAAAAGTTGGAAAATTAATGTCTTTATATAATTGTTATTTTTGTATTGTCTTTTCAATCCCTCTATTATTATTTTTCATGGGACCTTACTACAAATTCTTATAAGTGTTATTCTGGTGAAATTTCTATTGAATTAGTTAGGAAACTATTTGAGTAGATTAACCCTATCTAAAGTCATTTTGAACAGAGCAGATGTTCTACTCTATTTAATTTGCATAGAAACGATAGTAATAATTTCTAGCTAACTAGAGGAGAGACATATAGTGATAGTTTTAGTTTCATTTAAAGGATGAAACATCCACCTTTGACGAGGGAAGTGACCTTTCTTATATCACCTTGAAAGTCCTCTAACACCAAACTTTGCTCTTACAACATCATTTGTCCTTTTATTCCTTCTCTGTTCACAACAAAACAGTTTGAATACAAGTACCATGTTACCAAAGCTATTACTCATAATTAGAAACAAATCGTGCATTAATAAATGAAGAATCTCAATCCTTTTTACTTTCTCAATTTTCATTCAACTTGCTGGTTAGTTAGGGTTGTTACGGATCAAATTTTATGACATTGGGGAAACATTTTTCTCCATATTAATTATATAGAATTGTCAAATTTTATTAATCCAAGACTCCAAGTGTAGAATATTCTATGGGATGCCATTATTTAGAAATCAATTCCGTTGATTGAACTACTCTATTCAATTCCTACATATTAAGAAAGGATTCCGAGTGGTGGTGAGTGTATCAATCAAATCAAACACTTAGATCCTCTGTGGTTATCGATTTGCACCAGATGCTAACTTCTTTTGCTTCCTAACTCGATATTCATCAAACACTTTATTCGCGTTCTTTAGTTTTTGTAATGAATTGTTTTGTTTTCATTCTAGATATTTGTTTTTCTTTTGACCACTTTTCACCGCCCACAAGTGCTTTATACAACCCATGTTGGCAGCTTTATTCCTTCATGCCAGATCCCATCCCAATTATTTGTTTGTTAACGTGACAAGGACTTTAAAAAGTTAAAAGAGAACGCAAAATGAAAATATATATTTTTACTGACTTTTAAAATATATTTAAAAACTTTTAAAATATCAATATTAATATATTTTTAATGCTTAACAAAAAATAAACCAATAAACCGATAATCTGAATTCATTACAATCTATATGATCCGCTTGCATTAATGGTTTTACACATAATGAAAATTCGAAATTTCAAACCATACACGGCGAAAGAAATATCTACTAAGATGACTTGATAAGTTGTAGTGAGTGTTTAAACTCTCGACGGATTGCAAAGAAAAGGACTAGAAGCGTCACAGAATTTTGTAGTATTTGTCTGTATCCGTTTACTTATGGTCATGAGTCAATTTTTATTTGCAATTTAAATAAAACTGATAAAACCAATGGTTGAAATTTTGAAGAAAGCAATGTCCCTTTTGCTCCGATTAATGGGCTAACCGGAACGAGATCTGACAAAACCATTGAATTTTATTTTATAAAAGTCAGGACACCTATAAAAGTGATGATGTCAAGGTTCACTGAACAATGGCTTAGTAAAGACAAAGCCTTATTCAACGCATCATTTATAATCATTATGTAGATGTCGACATTTGAAATTTGCAAGTGATATGAACATGAGTTAAGGTATCATGTGAGTAAACTTTTCTGTTCTCTCGTTAATATGTGATCTCGAAACAAATATTTACTGAAAAAAACCCTTTATATTTCCTAAAACAAGGAAAAGTATTTGCCCAAATAAATAAAATAGTAAAACAGAACTAGAAATAGAGAGTACCCATCCTATCCCCTTCACGTGTCCTCTCCTCCTTTTCTCTCCACACACTCTTGCCACTGTCTCTTAAAAAAAAGGATGAAAACTGTCAATTTCTACCTTGTTTATTATTAAAACCCTTCCTGTGAACTTCAATTTTTAAAATACATTTTGCTGCACTACAACTACCTTGGTAATTACGTAAAAATCATGTTTTTCGCTCAGACATTGGAGATTCATAGCTCAGACAATATCTTGCAATTTAAACTCGGAGAGAGAAGGCAGTGCCATATTTTGCAATTTAAACTGAAAGCAGATGTCATTTAATTCAAAAGATCATAGAAACAATAAATTGGCAGAAGATATAAATATTAACAGCATTAGCCACCCACATGTAAAAAACACAAACTGCATCCAATTGTTCTAGGTTTCATAATAATAACCAAAAAAGATGAAAATGGAGTAACAAAGCATGGTGAGACACAGCTAAAGGAAGCTACTAAAACAAGGGATAGAGCAAACAAGTAGGATACTAAGAAACGAGGGACAGAGGAAACAAATAAGGATACTAAGGAGCAGCAGTACCAATTAAAGCAAACAAGAAAATAGACACTCAACTAACAAAAGCTAATAACCCCAAATGAAGATTGACCTAGTGGAAATAGAATTCCCAACAAAACTTATCTGCCCTGTCCCTCTTGTATGCTTTTCAAATTTTGGTTATGGTTGATTTGTCCTCACTTGGCCATCATCACTTTGACAAACTCCTCATAGTTGATCTGGCCATCGCCGTCGACATCAGCCTCGCGAATCATCTCATCAACCTCCTCATCGGTCAGCTTCTCCCCCAGATTTGTCATAACATGGCGGAGCTCAGCAGCAGATATAAAACCATTCTGATCCTTGTCGAACACACGGAAAGCTTCCTTAAGCTCCTCCTCTGAGTCAGTGTCTTTCATCTTGCGAGCCATCAGATTGAGGAACTCCGGGAAATCGATGGTTCCGTTGCCATCAGCATCAACCTCATTTATCATGTCCTGCAACTCTGCCTCAGTTGGGTTTTGCCCAAGTGACCGCATTACAGTCCCAAGTTCCTTGGTAGTAATGCAACCTAAACCACATTACAAAACTGTTCAACAGAAATATGATTCATTCAAACCCACAAGTGAAATGCAGGTCAAAGTTTTGAAAACATGAAGGAATAAAGAACACAAATCCGGTTATACTGGGAGGAAAGTTTCAGAAGAAAGAGATAATTTGAAGCAGGTACAACAACGGAAAGTGAAGAACACTATAAAGTATCATTGCGTCAAAAGAAAACACATGCTAGATATTTGGTAACAATTTTCTACAGTAATGATTAATTAACAATTCGGACAAGATACTGTTAGTATCCTTGGTAGTAGGGGTTTGCCTATCAGCTGAGATACTCATAGCAGAAACATGCATAGAATGAAATAATCGTTAACAAATCTAGACAGAATGAAATACATAGTCAAAAACAAAAAATCTAGCCAAACAAGAACGTCTAGCTAAACCAAATGATCCAAATATCCAAGTTCATCACATAAATATGCACATGCTTCACTATCACTGCTTACTTCAGTTGCCAAAACAAACACCAGTATTCTTAGTATTTACAAAGGACAAACTTACAAATTTCTGAATCTACGTATCACATAAAACTCCTACGGAAAAAAACAGATCCATAATATAAAATCCAGATGTTTTCACAAAACGATAAGCACAACCAAGACGCAAACAAGACTTGTCATCAACGACACAATAGGATGACACAAACAGATCCACCAACCAAAACGGTCCAACAAGCTAACATTCTATTCTCAGACACCACAAAAACATAAATCGCCAAATTTAACACAGCAAACTGCCACCCTTCCGAATTCAACTTTACAAATCACAACCCACATCCCCAATTTCCACATCTACGAAAAACCATTCCGATTTCCGACACGTGCATCAAACAACAAAAAGCAAACCCCGGTTCAAAATCCAACGCTAAAAATCCATTTCCAATTCCACGATCAAAATCCACCCACACCCGGAATCACGACTCTTCATAAAACAAAACATCAACAACAAACACAAAACCACGAGAATCGTAGAAATTTCCACATCAACATCCAAAAGGTCAAACAAAACCGGAACCCTATATCACCAAGTATAAATGTCATACAAATTCAATCCCCCTACCTCAACCTACCAAAAATATAAAATTTAGCACAAAAAGAAAAACACAAACAAGCCCCGCCCCCAAGAAAAAACGAATTGCGGAAACCAGATCTGGGAAAGAGGGAAAAATGAAACAAGGAAGAGAGAAAAAGGAAAAAGACAGAGAGGGATCTGAGGAGAGAGACCATCGCCATCCTTGTCGAAGAGGCTGAAGGCCTCCTTGAACTCGGCGATCTGGTCGTCGGTGAGCTGGTCGGCCATTGGAGCAGAGAGGGGGGCGTTTTTGGGAGGCGAGAAAGTGAGGGAAAACGAGAGCAAAGGAAAATGGATGTGGAATACAAAAAGAGGAGGAATGGGGTATATATATAAAATGAAATAAAAATTATATTTAATATATTCATTTAATATATATTCCTTACACCTTCCTCTCAAGCTATGGTCCCAAACTGTCTGTGTTTGATGTTAAATTATGTCACTTTTGAAAGTCCCGATCTTAAAATTATAAATTAAAAAATTTAGTTTACTTGTATATTTTATTATTTAATTGTGCTTTTTATTTCCTACGTTTTATTGATTTATTATAAATATCCTACTTATTTTTTAAAAGTCACGTTATTCTAACACCATTTATTTTTAATTTCTTTTACCTTATTAGACATTTAAAGAATGAGTAAAAACCATAAAATTGAAATTCTAATAATGAAATCTATATACAAAGTCATGGTAAATTTTTGTGAATAATAATAATTGCTTCGTAAAATATGTAATTAAAATTAAAAGTTTTTAAGCTAAATTGTACTTTTGGTTTCTTTATGCATATTATTTATGAAGTTATTTATTTTTATAGTTTTGTCCTTAAATTTTAAAAAAATAGTAAATTTGATCAAAATTCTCAATTTCACATATATTATGTATTTGTTTTATGTTAGTCTAACCTTATATCTAATATTTTCATTATTATCCATATTTAAAATATATAAAAAAATTATGTTAGAAGGACATGAAAAATATTTTAGATTAAGAATAAATTATAAGTAGATGAAATAAGTAGAAAATATGGGTAACATTACGTTATGTTATTACTAAAAAAATTGAGTTATATATAGAGAAGTAATTAATGAAGTTTCATTTTATAAAAATTATAATATTTTTAGACATTCTTATCTTCTTCTTTTTTATGTTCTATGTAAAATTATAGTCAATTTATTCATCCATTTGAAAATTAGAGTAAACCATAGAAGTTTTGGTGTAAAGGATTTTCATCCTATCATATCAAAGTCTGAATCAAAGTAGACCACAAAGTTCTCGATCTTGACTGTAATCATCATATGATCATTCTGTTTTGGGTCAATAGCTTTGAAGTTTGCGTTGGTGAAGGTTATGAGGGGCATATTCCTTTTTATTGGGGTTGATAGTGCTTTTACGGATTTCACCTATAAGACTCAAGAAATAAATATCAATCTACATAAGTCAATTGATTGAAATAAGTGTTGGTTAATAAAATAAGTTATATGTTATATAAATGCTATGTAGTTTACTTAGTAGGAGTGTTGGTGGGAAAATTAATAAAGACATAATTATGATAGGTGTCGTAACGCAAGAGTTAAATAGCTATAAAAGTGTTAATATAATCAAAAGAGTTAGATGGTGTGGTGGTAAATCTGATTACATGTTTGGATAGTGTGAAGGAGAATGGGATTTGATCCTTGACAATAACAAAAAAGAGTTTTTTATTTATTTGTTTTTGTTTTGTTGGCTTTTTTTTTAAAAAAACAATCTTAGCTTTTTGGACGAGGAAAACCACGAGAAGTTTAGAAAATAGAAAAACACTATTGTGTTTGATATAACATCGTTCATCCCTTTTCTTTTTCTTCTCTTTTTGCTTCGAACCAAAACCCTAGGTCGAGGGGGGGATTGTGTGGCACACATTATAAGCATTCAATGCTCAACCGTAACGAAAGAGAAAAGTGGGTAGAAAGAGAAAGTGAAGGTTTTAAAAGGTTATTGATAATTGTGATAATTACCTACTTTTCACACTTATTAGAACCCTTTCTTGTCCTTGATTCATGTGTTTTATATTTAATAGAGAAATTATAAAAGTATACATTAGGGTTATAGAATCAGATAGTTATTCATTTTAGGGTATTTTGCAAGAAAAAGAGGAAGATTGAAGCTTGTTTAAGTCATTCTTCCAAAAGTGGCTCACCCAGCGAAAATGCACTTCATGTGATTTTGTTTAAAGTGTCGAAAGTGAGCGAAAAGAAACACATTTTGCTCTTGGGAAGGAGGCATAGGTAAAAAACAAGGGCTGAGGCACTTCTATGGTTCAAGGCTTCATCTTCCTTCATCATTTTCATCATCAAATTCATCCTTGTGTTTTAGAATGCATAGGAGTAGCTAAATTCCATTTCATCGGGGTTGGATATAATGTACCTAAACTCTATGTAACTATTTCCATGCAATAGAATCTCTTTTGTATTCTTATGTTCTATCTCTTGCTTTTACTTGCATTATGAAATATATTTGCTCTTTTGTTGATGTTAGAATCATATTGTGTGGTTGAGTGATTTAAGTTTAGGTCATGAAATCCAACCCCAATGAGTCTTTACCCATATCACTTTATAATCATTATTTTCAGTTATTTTCTTATGTTTATAGTTCTCTTGAACCAATTATAAATTGTAGTCATTGCCTAAACTAGTAAGTAAGCATATTTACCTAAACAATTGCAAATCCTTTGAGAGATGATATTTGGACTTACAATCCATATTACTTGCATGATTTGGTTATAGAATTAGATAGTTATTCATTTTAAGGTATTTTGCAGGAAAAGAGGAAGATTGGAGCTTGTTTGAGCCATTATGCTAAAAGTAGCTCGCCCAGCGAGCCACCTCAACTCGCCCAGCGAGCCACCTCCACTCGCCCAACGAGAATGATGCGTTAGCCACACCAAAAGAGCCTACAACCCAATGAGCTGAGCTGCCTACCTGGCAGAAAAAGTACCACTCACCCAACAAGTGGTGATTCTCGCTCAGTGAAAATGCACTTTGTGTCGAACGTGAGCGAAAAGAAACACTTTTTGCTCTTGGAAAGGAGGTAGAGGTCAAAAACGAGGTCGAGGCACTTCTAGGGTTCAAGGCTTCATCTTCCTTCATCATTTTCATCATCAAATCCATCATTGTGTTCTAGAATGTTGATGACAAATTTATGAACACCGAAAAACGGCGCCACAAACTTGTTTAACAATCGGCAAGTGTGACCGAATCGTATCAAGTAATAAAACTAGGTAAGACCAAGTATCGTTTTCCCAAAGGACTCACGGCCTAGTTAGCTATATGATTTGTTGATTATTTAAGACTTGTTAACAATTGATTGTAAGATTAAAAAAAAAAAAAAAAAAATAAAAAAAAAAAAAAAAAAATTGATCAATGAAAAAGAGGAAAACAAACACTTTAATGAATTAAATGGATGAGTATGTTGTTGGGGTTATCAATTTCATCTTATCCACTCTCATATACTTTTAGGAATTCATCATTCTTATCATCAATTGCTAATGCCACTCTCTAAATCACCTTACAAGAAGGCCTATCCTTAATTACGAGTTCATACAATTCCTAGCATTCGTA